CGATCTTTGTATTAATAATTATAATAAACTATATTGGAGTAGTTTCACAAAAAACTACTACTTTTTGAAACAAATTTTTCAGGGTATTTTAGGTTAAACATTTCAGTTTTTAGTAGCTAGTGTCAGACTGATTCTGTTTATTAGTTTAGTAGCAGTAGAGTTATTGTGGAAGAGTTCGTCCAGGGAAGTACTGCACTTTACCTATCTCTACCGCCAAGCAGTGATGCGAGAATGGTAAGGGTGCTGGTGAAATTACAGGCACAAGACTTGTCGACTCAGGATAAGTGGCGCAGTGGCAGCGCCCCTCAGTTCTTTTTGATTTAAAGTTCTAACTGATACTGCAACTATTATGGACAGACATGTCACTTACCGACTTATTCGTCCCGTCACTTGATCTGTGTTTGGTGTATATCACAGTATTCTCGTGCTATATTGAAATAACCTTTGTTAAATGCTTTAATTACGTATTTATATTTTTATACCAGAACCGCGGATTGGCGTCTCGATTAAGAGAATATCATTATGAAATGCTGATAAATTCTAAATTTGAGTTATTACTGTTCAGATCTTCATAGACACAACAATAAACACCGAGTGAACCCTTCAATTCTATAATGAACAACCCGCGCTATGCAGCGTGAGAGCACTGCGAGTTTATGCGAATGTGTGCGTCCGTACTAGGGTTGTCGCGAATATCAACATCCGCGGATAATCTACATAATAAAAATACCCACATCAGCATAAGCATTCATCATGTTCGAGTCGTGACATGACTTAAAAGGCACGCTGAAATAATTTACAAAGACTGTAAGCCGGAAAAGCTCATATGTTGTTTTTAACGTAGAACTTTCATAAAATTTCACAACGATTAAACAGATTGGTTGTTTTCATGAAGATTGATTCTTTTGTTAATAAATTTCACAAAATCGTTGAAATACTATTATAATACCAAAGAAAATAGAAAGCATTTACATATAAATAGATTCAGTAAGGATGTGGGTACATTTTTCTCGTTTTTTCAAATACCTAAAATCAGCATCCACTGATGTTAGTAAAAAAATACGCATCCACCTCAGCATCCGCTGATGTGTTAAAAACCTACATCAGTGACAACCCTGGTCCGTATCTACACGCGCGCGGCGGACGTGCACACATATACGCAACGTTGTGACATTTATGTGGAGTTGGGTAACTAATTGCCTTTTATACTATGTTAGTAAAAGGATACGCCAACTCAACCTGTTGATTAGTTCCTAAGAAATAAAACTCGATTTCTTAGACGCCTGGTACACAAGTTACTTAATAAGAAATTCTCCCATTTTGAGAAGTACATGCAATCGTCTGTCACAAACAAAATGGAAAGGGTAGATAAACCATAAATCATGTAATACTAATAACAGTATGATAGACAATAATGTGCTTTATGTGTTTTCGATAACACAAAGATTTGCACTTGATAAATTGACTGATAAGGGTGTTGATGGGACGGTAAAGATACTTTTGAAGTGCGAAAAAGCTTTTTGACGCCTCATGTTCCATCATCGACACTCACCATCAAGTGAGATTGTAACAAAATGCTATAATAATAATAATTTTATTAATAGTCATTACAAATATTATAGAAATAATACAGTAATTATTAGTTATTAGTTGATTGCTGACCCGTCAGACAACATCCAGACCCCACAAAAGAAATTAACCTGTGTTAGCAGCCACTATCGAATTTTTATCAACAAATGGCTTTCGAGAAAACTAAAAGGAACTCTGTGGTCCCACAACCAGTTCAATGAAACTGTTCATTTGGAACCCCGAAAAGAATAAAATATAAGAAAGCTGATATCATTGCTTGGTTGCTTGCTTTATCCATAATACATAATAATTAAGATTTATTCCTTATGCTTTCGACTATTCATACAATTCCGATAAAAGTTGCTGATGTATTAGAATCTTACTTTAGTAGCAATAGAGCTTCTTGTGAAATCGTTCGTTCAGGGAAGTACTTACCTATTTCTGCCACCAAGCAGTAGAATGAAATAAAGAAAAATAATTTATTTGGTAACAAACTAAAAATTAGAAAATGACAAATTAAAAAACAAAGTAAATTAGACAAAGGACTTAACACCACTCAGCTTTTTGTAACGAGATATTGGAGGACGCCTTATTACGCTGGTTTCCACTGGAGCCATAAATGGAGAAAAAGAAAGATAGCGCCTCGTCCAAGTAAAGGGTATAATTAAAAAATTAAGTTTAAAAAATTATAAAGAAATAAAATTTGGAAAATTTAAAATTATAAACCAATCCCAATACAAATAGATCATAAAAATAGTAAAAACTAGTGTAAGTAATGTGAGAATTGCTGCGTTCCGGTTTGGAAGGTTAAGCGCGTTTGTTCACTGCATCCACTTCATTCATGACCCACTTCGGATGTCGCTTGTGCGTTAAGTCCGATTCGAATTTAAGAAAATACGAAAATCGCTTATACACCTGGAGATAAAAATACCCTGTGATATTTCGGACTCGGAACTGGGGGTCTACTCTCAATCTCCGACCGACATCCGTCCGAAACAATTACTGCCAAATAAGCAATACTTGACCAAATGAAAAGACGCGTGATGCGAATGAAGCTTCATACTTGATACTTGTCTTTTAATTTTGTCGAATATTTGACAGTAATTGTTTCGGACGGATGTTGGACGGAGATCGACAGTAGACCTGATACGGATCGGACGTAGTACACAAACGTTTCTAAGGGTATTGGTGAAGTTACAGGCATATGGGACTTGTCAACTTATGTCTCAGTGTGACAGACACAGTGGCAATGTCACTAAGATCTTTGCGATTCAAAGCTCTAACTACAAACTGTTATGGATAGGCATGTCGCTTACCACCAAACGCACGACTTGTTCGCCCTGTCACTGGTATTATTAAAAATCTTGGAACAGTTAGTTGTTTCAAAGCCGAAAAGGCGCTTCTTTTGAAGATACTCTTCTCTACAACATGACTTTCCTTTGTTTCAACAAATATGCCTACCGCTGGAAAGATAGACCAATGCAATTGGAATACATTGCCGGGTACAGCTAGTAAACAATGAAAATAATATATTAAAGTTTACAAATTTTGGCGATAATTTAAATTTTAAAAAATACACCACAATAATGTTGCCCTATCTTTGATTGCTCACTCATTATTGTCTATATTTAAATATGTCCATGTCTTTGATGACGTATTTTTAAAAAGTTCTTTCTAGAAATTATCCACTTTGAAAATAACTTCTGTAGCGGAGCGTTCGGGGATGGCGCTTAGGACTGTTGGACACACTGCTTGGTTCCAGTAGTGGGTCCAGTAGGATTTTCAAATACTCACGGTTCTATTGCTTAATACAAGTGGATCCACCCGGATTGGGTGCAAAGAGAAACGAATTGAGACACCAATAATTCTAATAATTTTAATATTTTGACAATTTGCGTGAATATAACAAAAAAATAACAAAATTTAAACTGGGGAAACGGTTGAAAGCACAGCATCTAGTACCGAAGCTAAGGTAGAGGAATTAAAACGGAAGCATCTCAATAACTTGAATGGCATTCAGTGCTGCACAACGCTCCTAGAGAGCATTGGACACAAAAAATACAATAGTTGAGTAAGTTAAAAAGTTGACAAAACGCTTGCTTTTCAGAATACTACTAACGCCATCCTGTGGTACATAATCGAACTAAATTTAGGTTTATACTTTCTGGATAGTTGGAAAGCATTGTAAAATTCTACTTTCACTACTGAAGACAATCCGTCTGAAGTCTAAACATTTTGTACTAATCTAATATCGGAAGAGACATTGTTAGATAAAGCATAAAGCAAACCAAACAAACTAAGAGAAATTATTAATATAAAGATCCGGATGAAAATTCCTTAGATCCGGCTGGATTCGAGCCAACGTCTTCTAGCAAACCGTGTCAGACGTTATATCAAATAAGCCATGGAACGAACCAGCGGACCTTACGAAAGTGCTTGTTGGTTTCTAACGACTTTTTTGCGACTTATTTTGTAAATAAAACTATATAATACATTAAAATACAATGAACAAAATGTAATTACAATAAATTACTATTTGCCATTATTATAAAGGACATATGAAAGAGTTTGTTACAAAATTACATGAAATCATTCTGCTATCCCCTTTCTATCATGGTGGTCCAGACGTAAGTTAAGGTTTCAACGCTGTGTTGTAGATACACCCAAGATACGCGCGAAGCGTTAAGCTTTCACATTTATATCTTCCCCGTCTCCGGATTTGTTATTTGAACGCTATAACTTGGGACCTTTTGAAGACGAAAGTGAATGGGTTTTCATTATAAAGGTGTGCATTCTCCATGGTTAATATCATCGTCACTTTCCATCAGGTGAAATAGAGGTCAAATACGCACTTATTTTAACCAATAGAAAACAACAAACAGCAGTCGAAGTCGAAATCAAGTTTGTCGTTTATTCCAGTATTTTCATGAACTCAGTTTCATGTGGAACAATTGTAACCTTAACATGCCATAATTATTCCCATTGGTTCCATGTAATTATATTTTTAGACTTTTCTTCCTCATCAGATCTTCAGAAGTTCATTAACCCCATTTCCAAAATGGACAAATGTTTTAAAGAGTCTATATAAATGCAGAACATGCGATAACAAAACAGTGATTTATTTGTACTTCTTTATTCATATCAAAATGTTATCGACTTTCGTGCGGAATTTGAAACCTAGATATTCTTGGTAATAAAAAAACGTTTCTTTATTACTGTATTTATTGACTAGACAAATACTAAAGTATTGACTAAATTATTACACACATTAAGTAATCATAATCAAATATATAAATGCTTTATTACTAAAAACCATTGATAAAAATAGCGAATGCCCAATTAGTTAATAAAAGGTTGCGAAATCTGATAAGGCAGATCAGTATTTTTTTATGAATCAATAATATTCAATATGTACAATGTACAATAGAAAAGGAGAACAGGAGAGACTAGTCACAGCGTAACTCCAAGGATCATAACGATGATCTTGCTCTTATTAACAATTATACAGCTTACAGTATCACAAGCACGGACTGTGAGTTTAAATACTTCTGAGTAACTTAATCAATCTAGAAGACAGTAACATGGAATAAGGAAGGACTATAGATATACTAGAATCTCCATCGCTGCTCATAAAATTTGTTAATTGAAGCGAAAGTGGCCAAGTCGCTCGCAAAACCGACGTCGAAGAAGTTTTCTAGTAACGACTACGAGCTGACGCAAAATCGATTCACTGTAGAACGAATCTCTACTTGCTCGAACAAGATGAAGTTTGCAAGAAGTCGAATACCGACGTTTCAGGATTGTGCATGATAGTACTATATTGTAAAACCTATAATCAGCCGAGGCATATTCTGGAGGATAATATGGAACGTTTACTTTGGCTTCCAAGAAATATTAGATAGACCGTTCAGCTGCCTCTTCATGCACTGGCTGTCCGCCCAGTTAGAGTTCAGATAGCTGTCATCATCATCCTGTTAATTAGAAAAGTATTATTAATTTGAATAGTTTCAGAATAACTGGGAATAGTGTTTTACTAAAATACTGATCCGACGCCTATATATTTTGTTTGCTGCTGTAGATACACAAAGTGACACCCGTGCCGTGAACTTGCAAAATTAAGGGAGTTCAGACAAGTAATACCTCAATAACACCATAACTTGTTTATACAAGTGGCAACTCCCTTAATTTTGCAAGTTCACGAAGGTTATACTCCCACCCACAATGATCCAACTTGGTAGATTATAGCTTGATTGAGACTGATCTTACATGGGAACTTGGGGTGCCAGTGTATCAACACAAGCTGCTACATTCTTGTATCATCTAGTCACTTTAAGCGTAAGTTTCCTCTAAGAAAAGGATTTATGCTAAAATCTGCCACGCTGGACATCTACTCCCCCAATATCCATCGAAAAAATTACTGTCAAGTAAGTACACACAACAACTGTTAAAATCACGCAGCTTGTCATGCAAGAATAAGAAACATCTAATTAATGTCGTGCACATTTGGAGTATTGTACTTTATGGATGTGAAACATGAACACTGACACAAAGAGATAGGGAAAGATTACAAGCTTTTGAGATGTGATGCTGGAGGTGCATGAAGGGTATAAGTTGGATAGAAAAGAAAACCAATAAGGAAGTATTGAGAATAGTAAACGAGAAAAGAACGATCCTAAATACTATAGAGTATAGACGCGGGAAAATGTTTGGCCATTTGATACGACACGACAACATCGTTAAGACCATTTTGGAAGGAAAGATCGAGAGGAATAGGGGATGATGTCGACCTAGGCGCAGTCACATAGACCAAATAAAGGAAAAGGCCGGTGTCGTGTCGTATAAGGACATCAAGGAGCTGCCTTGTAGGAGAGATGACTGGAAGAGGCTCCACCGACAAGAGTATAACTCTTAAGTTTGATGATAAAGTATACACGACCAAATCAAAAGACAATGTCAATAAAGCATCATTCGTATTATGCTTCTTTGAATTTGGTCAAGTATTACTTATTTGACAGTAATTCTTTCGGACGGATGTCGGACGAAGAACGGGAGTAAACAACCTGGCCCTTGGGCCAGCGGGAGTCAGAAAGTTTATTAAAGATAAATTATATTATGAAAGGATGGATCAGACGCTCACCTGTTCCAATTTCTTCCACTCCTCCTGTTTTCTATAAGCATGCAACATCAGCTGCTTTCTCTCATCTTCCGTCATTACCGGCTCACGTCCTGGAGCGCCATCACCTTGATTGCACAGTTTCACTGTCACCTTCGACTTGTTGTTTTTACCTTGAAAAGAATATAATAAATGGTAAATAATTGCAGGTCACATTTTACAAAATTAATAAACCTGGAATTATATGAAAGAGGAAATACATATAGTAGTTACTGCACTGACAAAGAGTAAAGATGAAAATATAGTTACTAACCCAAGTGATCACTCAACTTGTTTCCACTTAAAAATTTCTTCCCACAAGCCCACAGACAAGCTCTAGAAGGATCTATAACTTCTTTGGATGCTTGAGTTCCAGTGAGATCTTCCACGTTGTCCAACTCCATTCGAACGGGGTCGTGGGGAGGTAGACCCGCTGGGAAGACAATCTTGGTTGCTCCACGAAGCTCATCCAGTGCTCGTGAGATATCTTTTTGAGTCATGCATTCGCGGAGGTCCACCTGAATGTCAACGAAAAAATCTTGACTTCTTGCATCTCCAAATTGCTCAAAATTTGGTAAAATAATATCAATTTCAGACCATGAAATACTATGTACTATTATCAAATTAGTCTCACTGGTTATCAAATTTGGAACCTCATTTAACGGCCTGAGTGATAACTATAGGTCGGTGGTAAACCCGACACGATACGAACACGTAATATTCTGATCACCAGTATATATGTTAATGACGTCATTATTACAAAAAATAATACAATGGTTTTGGTCTAACCTACACAGCTTCATAAAATGTATCGAACGCTGAACAGACAGAGCACGTTTATCTAATTAATTTACCACCTTATAAAATGCCGATGTAGTTTCTGCCAGCCTAATTTCACGATCCATTACCCACAACGTAAACTAACGCGATCCTATCTACTTACGAAAGAGCAATCGAACGGAAAATGTATCTTAAGTTTGTCGCTAAGTAGGGTTCTGTACTTTGTTCTGTTATGAGTCTAATAACTTTAAGGGTGAGCTGCATTTCGACTACAACATCGCAAAATAACCGTTGGAGTGCAATTTGGATCCAGTTGTTCAAATCAATAAAACGTTTGATACAGAAAAAAGAATTACTGTACACGTACACATGCGTTATACACATAACAAGTTATATTGAATAACACAAATCATTCTTTAAAATAAAAATAACAATTGAATAGTAAATAACTTCATATATCCTTAAGAGTTGAATCAGCTCGAATTAATTCAAATTTTTACCGTACTAATACGGTTTATTTTGCTTGGGTCGAGAGGCAGGGACACTGGAATTTAGAATTTTTTACAAATTTTTTTTTTTTTGTTTTTTTTTTTTGGCACTTGAATTTTTTTTTTAGAATTTATTTTTTCACAACGAAATTAAACCCGTTTGAAAAATGTATGTCGTATAGTATGTCGTGTTCTATTTAGTTCAATTAATATAAAAAGAAATCATTAGTATGTGTAAAATACCTATTGAAACGGTTTTCTTGCAAAATTTCAAGGTAAGTTTGTTTTTTTTGTAACATAAAAATTTTAGGAATTGTGTTTTCACGCCGTATACTAATCAATGTATACCCTCAAGTTTACTACATATTTTTTTCCAAATTGATTGATTGAACACTTTTACTGTTATGCAGAACCAACCAAAGCCATTTCAGGTTGTATGGACTCTTAACTAAGTCCATTATTAACTTTTTAAACAGGTCCTACACGAAATCCAGTATAACTAACATGTGATCCCACTTACACGTTTCTTGCTAATAATCTCCGTGGCAGTTTCTGCGGCTTTCTTCAGTATCTCTTGCATGTTGGTTGGAGGTGCCAAGCCACATCGCCTGCCCATGTCATCCTTGCATATCACGTAGCCCGCTGGGGCGCAACGCTCTGCCCACGGATCTTTAAGTTTTAGTTCTAAAATCTGTGAAAATTAAAAAAAAGTCATTTAGATATTCTTCATCACACTTCCTTGTAAATGGTATGATTGCGTGGTGTATAACATGTATAACAATTGTATGACGTACATACTACATAGGAGTCATAAAACAGATCCCGAGAATTCTTGGGCATATCGAGTTCTTAGGTTTTCGCGATTGTTATGAAACTGAAACCCGTGAATGTAATATCCCCTTACAGGATTCACAGCTTGCCTGTGAGTGCGGTCTCTCTTTTATCCGCTCACGCGATGCGCTCTTCCTACCGCAAAATGGCGGCTACTTGGTTTCGCAAATTAGAAAAGGATTCAGTTTAAATACAAGTTTTTATAAATAAAAATTATTATTCTGCATTGCTAAATAAATACCGTCCGTACTACAACAAAAACATCTCAAATAAAATGCAGTAATACACCGCAAATCCTGCACTTAAAAAGCACTAATGAAATTTTTGGTGTACTTGGGTAAATATGATAATATTCCGTTTGAGTGGTTCTAATGTTTACCATGAAATTACTCCTTAAAGTATAGTTTATAAACATTTATATTCAGGGTAAACTTAAACAACGCTACTTACGGTATGTTTTCAATAAATAAACACCGAAATCACCAGCCCAAACAATAACACACACGATTGTCGTGACGTATTTTTGAAGTTGTTTATTTTTTTAAATGACAGACCCAGGCATTAAAAACTTTATGGTTTGCTAGAGTAGTTACCGAAATAGCAATTAGTATTAGTTCTTTTACCTGTTATAACTTCGATATCCGATAAATCGGTATAAAATCATCACCGGCACCTCTAGGTGTGGTATGCGTCTACGGCTGCATGTATCGCGTGAGCGGATATTGGACAAACGAAGCGAAGTATTTGTAGCTAGATAGAAGAACATATAGCTGATGTCAAATACCGTCGCGTAAACAAGTCTGCAGTCTGCGAGCATGTCAAGGTCCTTGCCAAAGAAGGCCGTTATCTACCCAGGATGCTGCGAGAGGCCATTGAAATTAAAAAAAAACATCTTAATTTCAACAGAGAAGATGGTTTCTCCGTACCACCGTTTGGGATCCAGTATTTCCTCTAATGAAAAATCCCAAACAGACATAAGACTGTAGTACTAATTTAGTATATTTTAGTTTATTCTAATTTCTATTTATTAATTAATAATAAATTGAAGTTAATAAAAATTCATTCAATAAAATAATTTGTACAACTTAATGTAGCGTAAATTGGAATGTTTCTTTGTAAAATTAAAAATAAGGTATTCAATTAATAACTATTGTAACTATAGTGTAAAAATAGGGTGGATTGCATTAATATTAGACATAACTGGTTGAAGACTGTACCACCTCAGTCAACCGTGATCATGGGACCTGTAATGGAGTAATGTAAGAGGACAGTGATGGATTTTTATACTTACTTTGCAGGCCTTGGCCGTGAAGAAGTAGCACGGTCCTTAAATGACAAACTTTCCGTGTTCATTTTTTGAAAGTAATGGAAACATTTCCGAGCATGTTTGAGAAAAGATTCTACCAACGAAAGTAGTTATAGAATTTCACATTACAATATACAAAATTTGTTACATCTTGTTTGTATTATTGTTATAACGTGTGGGTGTACCAATTACATTAAAGTAACTAGCAGTAGAGCTCCTAGTGAAAAATTCGTCCAGGGAAATACTGCCTTGCCTATTTCTGTCGCCAAGCAACAATGTGGGTATTACTGCGTTCCAATTTTTAGTGGCACTGAACTGCTATGGACAGGCGGGTGTCACAAAACGCACGATTTGTTTGTCCCATCATTTCGTATCATAAAAAAAATCTCGCACATTGTAAGATAGCGACTTTTGCACAAAAAATATCTGAAAGAGAATATTCACACCACTGTTTTAAGCAATAGTCGAGACTTCTATAACAATAACCTTATTTGCACTTGAACAAAACTCTATTTATACCATTATACAAGAAAGTAACTTTCTTTATATCGGGATGAAAGGGAGTTACGCGACAACAATGCTTAAGTAGTCGGACGCTTATCAGGATTATGCTTTGCTCAATAGTGACGTCACCTAGTCACCGTGTCAGAAATGTCCAATATCGACTATGTTCCATAAAAGTACTCAAACAATAACACAGAAACTGCGACGTAGATTTTACGTAGTTAACTTCTATAGAAATAGAGACGAAATAAGGGCCCTCCATCCCTGGCAACTCATCAGGTAAATGGGCCTTATACCACTTTTAAATATCAACTCTCGTTTTCGCTGAAATTAGAAAACTGAAATAGTACAGCACCAAAAGCTGACCTGTGGGTACGTCTCCGTGTATTCCAAAAATATTCCACATTTATTGTAATAAAGACAATATTTCTAACAATGGGAGCTGTTCCATTCGGTGGTGTGGGAAAACAAAACATCCAATTACAAAACAAACGGAATCAAATTTCATCGGTAATTAAATATTAAATATGTAGTTTTGTGCAATTTTCGTCCATTGCAAAATCCAAATTAAATTGGTCGATTTAAAGTGAAACAATTGACGACACCCGTCTCGAGTCCAGCCTGGCCAATCGGAGAGCAGTTGTCACAGAATTTTCAAACAAATTAAGTGATATTTCGTCTCTATTTCTAATTATATACTTGATGACACTAAATTCTTTTTGCCATGAATAAAATAGAATGTAAAGACCGTCAAATTCTGGCCTAACAATGAAACAGCTTGCTGGAACTTATAATTTCATTTTTATATAACTATTAATTTATAACTGCTAATTATTTTATTATTAAATATAGAAAATCTGTTTTTAAGCTGTAATATAAAGAAATTTGCGCAAAAAGATGCCCAATACACAAGTACACATGTACTTAGTTTAAAATTACACATTACGTTCTATATTAGGTTCCTTTCTCAATGTTTATTTTAATACTGTAATAGCTTTATTTACATTTGTTTTCATTGTTGTATTAGATTAAATATTATTGAAATAAATTTATCTTTATCTTTATCTTCTAAAGTAACATGAATTTTGGTGATCATCATCATCATTCACAGCCCGACTTCACCCACTGCTGGGTCTATACCCGTCTGTGGTGGTTGGCACAAACTAAGGGAGGCTTATGCTCCCTTAGTTTGTGCCATCCATCCACCACGATACTGTGCTATTCTCACACCTCTAACTGCCTGCAACTTTCACAATGTCGTCCACCCATCTCGCTACAGAATGGCCCATGTTTCTATGTATTCTTCTTTTTTCTGTTTTGATAAATAATTTAGCGTAGGTCTAAGCGTATCTACATTTGAATGTGTTATAATTGGACGGATGTACATTAGGATTAACATACATACAATATAATAAAACACAATTTCTAACTAATCTACACGAACTTCACTTGTCGCCTACGTGTAGTGCAATCTGGTGTCAGGTAACCGGCCGCGGAATCCCCGATATAGGCCTAAATTCCTTCATGAAGGTCGACAGATTGTCGGTCGGTACTCTCACCACAAGTGAATTGGAATTCACGTTGTGGCGGTACTCCAACCGCTCGACCCTCTGGGTGTTGTTGGTTTTATGTGTGATCTACTGCACTATCTCCTCAGACTTCGTGAAGTAATGCAATCGCGGCAAGTACAGCAGCGTCGTCGGTATGGCCGTACGCAGCAGGAAATTCGGTCCAGTCGTGCTGTGCCACATTGGTTACGGCTGGTGGGCTTCCTCTTCTTCGTCTCCACTTTTGTGAAGCCGTCCTCGTCGCACCGGTTCATCTGCGTCTGTAGTTTTGCAACTTCAGAGACAGATGATTTTATGATAATGACTTTTTATTATACCAAGTGACGGGATTAACAAGTTGCGTGTCTGGTTCTTAGAACTTTAAATCGCAAAGATCTGAAGAACACTCTACCACTGCATCAGTCACACTGAGACTAAAGTTGACAAGTCCCATGTGCTTGTAATTCACCAGCACCCTTATCCTTGAAAACCGAAATGCAATCGACAAACGGACGAACTCTTTCACAAGGAGATCTACAGCTATTAATAAATTACAACAAACACAAACTTAAATCATCATGATTTTTTTTAAAGAAAACAAATATTCATTTATATACGAATCCATAAATCTGTTGATTCTGTAAAAAGCCAAAGATTTTCAAAATCAAACCAGAGTCAGAGACATTAACTGGGACACTACTTGAGTTTAAATCGCGTATGTTTGTTTTTTCAAACAGACCACGTTTCTGGTACTTTACAGAAGCCATAACCATACTGTAAAAGGCCCGGAAAAGACTGAAAAGGCCTGTGAACGTGTTTGAAAAAACAAATATACGCGATTTAAATTCGGAAAAATAGTTTCATATCCTATGTGTAACAATCGCGAAAACTTAAGAACTCGACAGTACCTGAGTGTTAACATTCTGTTTACAGATAGATATCGATACCGTTGACATCCCTAGCGCCGCTTTGCGATCTCGTAGGATAGGCCGGCACTTATTGATTGGGAAATCGACAAAGGAAATACAAGGGAACAATTTTGTTTATTCGATTTGTCACCGTCGACAAAAATAGTTCTGTTCACTCGAGTAGATAGTGAGAGAGAAAATAGAAAAAGGAAAAGAAAAAATCTACTGTGTTAATGTTTTTTGTTCTGATGTGATAATAGGAATGTCCACAACAGTTATATTGTTTATTGTAGGCATCATTGTTATTTTCAAAAATAATATTTTTCAAAACTAGCTCCACCGACTATTAAGGCGTTTTCGCGCAGGTGACAATTTTACCGCGAGTGGGTATATGCTGCATGCCGTGAAATCGAGAAGATAGACGCTCTGGAAATGTGGTGCTGGAGAAGAATGCTTAGAGTAAAAAATGAATAAAAAAGATATTAAAATAAAATATGTGTACATAAGTAACAATCGCGAAAACCTAAGAACTTTGTGGATTATGAACATAAAAAATACTTTCTATCATAAGTTATCCATATTTTTTTTTTTAAATGATAAATATTATAATGTATATCATTAGAAGTTTTGGGTTTTTCTATTTTATACACAAGAGTTGAACCGTGGGAAAAAATAAAATTGCCTATGGTCCACTGAGGTGAACCAGACAGGTGCTCCACGGGCAAGAAGTGGTAAGAAAAGTAACAGTAGTTCTGTGAACAGAACAGTACAACTGAACTAGTGAGACTAATCGGACAGAAACGACAGAACTGCTGGGAATCGTAAACCCCGGTTGTTCAAGAAACGTACCAGTAGAGACAAGAACCAGCAGTTCTATCAACAGAACTAGTGGGAATAATAGAACGTAGATTTTACATTAAATAAATTTACCTGATCCTCATTCAATCCCTGCATCTCTTCAGGCAAGAAAGTCCCATGTTTGCCCAGTTCTTCCATCTCATAGCAAATTCTGGTCACCTTCAATCTGCCATTGTAAATCGCCACTATATCCTTAACCACCTCATCGACGTCTCTATTTACGTCTGTTTCGTACAGAAACTGATTATCGTCGCCTCTTTTAACATGGAATACTACCATTTTGCTGCTTATCTGCCAACCGCGAAGTCTAATACAAATTACAGATTTTCAAATTATCGACATAACAAAAGCGTTGCTATGCATGTTACCATGGTTATTATTATGTTTTCCATAAATAATATGGCGGTCTCTAAACTTCGGCCAGTTAACAGCTAGCATTTGTGAACCGATATTTAATTGATGATTCTTTTTTCATTGTAAAGAGGTTACCTCATCAGTAATCCCATTTAAATTGGATGAAAATATTCCACCTCTAAGGGTAGCAAACTAGGGGTTACCTATCACAAGCTAGAAACATGATTTACTGAATTTTGTCTCATCGAAAACCTTCAGACTTTTATTGAATAGATTTTGTTTCATTTGTCCGAAAACACGTTACGGTTTTTGTCATTACACTATTTTGACATATCGACAACTTATTCGTTTCCAGATTTTTATTTCTCCAATAAACCATTTGACCAATGTATCTAATTGAATATATTTTTTTTGTGAAAAAACGATATCCACAATTCATTTTTGTTATATTATTTCTTATTACAGTTATTAAATGTCTTAGAACGTGTCGCACAATACAACGCGTCAAATTAAAGCACCTCGCGTCTTTAGAAAATACGGTAAACGAGGTGCAAGTTAATTTGATCGAGTCGTAGTCGCTCGCTTCTCTCGTTCGGATCTTTTTTACACACTAACCTTACCTAAACCCACAGGAGAGGGTCGTACCGTCTAGGTGATGCAAACAAATTCGGCCTTGGCACTTGCTTCGGCTCGTGTGACTTTTTTATATACTAACCTAACCTAAACCCTCGTAAGGGGGTCGACCTAGCCAGGAAATGCAAACAAATTCGGTTCTGGTACTCGCCTCGACTCAGTTGTACGTTATTTATTGAATACTTAAGAGCATTGTTTTTAAATTACATTTCAGAAGCACTGCACCAGCAATCAAAAATTGTTCTCATATTTCTTGGCTTGCCACGGTTAGCGTTTCAACCACCTACAAGGCTTTTTGACTTGTTTTTTTAAAACAGGGAAACTTATAATTTCATAATAATGAAATTTGGAAACGGAATTCGAAAAATTTGTCCAGCAATAGACTTTGATAGGCTATAATGATGATTAGGAAGATGGAGAAAGCGTGAAAGACAGGATCATCTAAGAAACTAGCATCTTCAATGAATATAATTGTTGTTCTTTTTTGTTTTGTTTTGGCTTTTCGTGCTAGCCTTACAGCCGCTGATAAGGTTTTTAGTTTTACATTTAAAAAGGTAATTTGGAAGAAGGATTAGGAAAAGAGAGAGGACAGAGAGAGGCGATCAGGTGATGTAGTGATAGGGCCTAGAGTAATGCAGGAAAAGGAAAGCTTATTAAAGATATTAAGAACCGAAGAAGCAATAATTTGAGCATCGAATACGTCACGACAATTGTCTTAGACGCATTATAGAGGGGAAGATCGAACAATAAAGACGTAATGAAAGATCTTGATGAAGTTATTTAGACGGATAAGGGAAAATAGTTAAATTAGAGTCGTATTACAGTTAGGGCGCTGAACAGTTATGATCCTGCGATTACGCCACGTACTTGTTTTTGTTATAATACCAAGCTAAGGGACGAACGACGTGCGCGTGGTGTTACCACCACAACTGTTATGTGTAGTTGTGTCGTATTGCTTCCACCAAGCACACAGCTTGCTTGTCCCGTCAATTGATATTAAAAAAAAGTAACAACGACATCGCTAATGCTCCATACCTCATTATAAGTGCACACGAAACCTCCCTAGATCAGACAAAAAGTAATTTTGTTTGTAAAAACTTGAAACAAGTTTTTTTTACTGAGAATCGTCGTCGAACATTGGTTGACATACTACCGTTGTCTAGATGCGACATCACGCCTAATTAAATTAACAACCTATGACCAATTTAGTAATGTTTCAATTACATAAATATAGGTCGTGTTTGTAACGTTTGTGGTTCTAGGCTCCTCGAAAATTGATCTCACAATCGATTTTTAACGCCTAATTTTTTTTTAACGAGCAACAAGAATTCTTATCACCATAATAATGGCTATTAACTTTTTTACAGGCGTTAGTACGCTAAGTTTGGAAAGGAATTAAGATTTATAGCGACATTCCAAGTTTGGTTAAAAATGTCAGCAATGTTGGAACTTTAGTCAAGCGAGAGTAGGTCGGGACCACTCGTCGCATTATCTGGCCCACTGATTCCTCTCAGTACATTAAGCAAAGGTCTGGATTTGTGTTGTTTAATACTGCAAACTGTTGATAGAGAATTTTATATACATCTATGTACATATAATTCTATTTTCTTCGCCTTAACTCATTTAGTTATCTTTTCTTACACTTGAATCTACTTAAGCATGAAAACTTGGGAACTCTTTACAAAGCACTACATAGAAAAAAACGTTGTTCTGGTTTTGACACTGTATTGATGTTTACTCTACTACCATCCTTCTTGTATGTGCGAAGTCACACATTATAACTTGCACAACAAAGAATTGGCTAAGTTTAGGCAAAGTTAGTAAGTAAGTAATAGCAAGAGATGACTTTCCTTGTTCTTGTATTAAATATGAATTGTTGATTAAATTCTTGCTGGTTGATAAATTGTTTGATAACATTAAACTGTTCACAAAAAAAAGTCGTGGCGATGTAATAAACCCACCGTCTCTTAACAGGGAGCACGCCCAAATTTGTGAAACAAATATATGCCTGAAGTTCGCGTGACATGCGACAGAAGATGTTGAATTTTGCGCGTTAAAAGAACCAAATTCGTTTTAGCGGAATAACTCTAAAACTAAAGGGATTAAAAAAAATCCGTAGTGACAGTTCTCGATCATGCATAAATATAATTAATTATCTAATTTTTGTCCTAATAACCTGTAGCATTTCGAGGATGAATCGAAAAAATGTGAAAATTAGAGGTCATTTCGTGATTTTTATCTATCGAGGTAACTTTATTGTTTTATGTTTCTGATTAGTGTCTATGCTTGAATATATCGTGTAGTTACTCATACAATATTTTATTTTTAACTTTAAAATGTATATACCCCTGTAAAATCAAATCGAAGATTAGGAATTTTTCCTCTGCTCCCTCTTAAGAGTTTATACAACCTCAAATAGCTTTGGTTGATTTGGTTGATTCCGCATAAGAGTGAAAATGTTGAAGCAATATGTTTTGGAAAAAATATATTGTAGTAAAATTGAGAAACAGAGTGAAAACACGATTCCTATAAATTTTCACTATAGAAAAAAAAACACAAACTTATTTCGAAATTTGACAAGAAAACTGCTGGTATTCAATAGGTACTTTATATATACCAATGATTTTTTTTAAATCAACAAGTAGAACGCGTACCTATAGTATACGATACACATTTTTCAAATGGTTTTAATTTCGTTTGTAAAAAAAAACCGGACCAAAAGCCAGTGCCCTGCCACTCGACTCGCGGAGTAGAACCGGTTCAGTACGGGAAAAATTAGAATTGGAGTTGAGGTAGTACCGACTCTGAGGCTGAAGGTAGTGGATTCGAATCCGGGCTTGCACCTCTGAGTTTTTCGGAATTCATCTCCGAAATTTAATTTGAAATTTTCCATCAGCTTTTTGGTGAAAGTAAACAGCTTGAGCAAAACCTATACACATCCCAATCCACATTGGGCCCGCGTGAGAAGTATAACCCAAGCCCTCAGATTATATAGGCTAGTTAATATAAACAGACCACTTCATGTCAGATTACTTTCATGTTTTATTGTAATTTATTGTTATTGAGCAAAATATGTTGACTAATCATTGTGTTAGAAGCACCGATTTCGATACCTAAGATACAAGTAAGCAATTTTACTTAGTTGAGGTATCTCCTTTTTTTTATTACCGAGGGAATCTGCTTACAGATACTCTGCCCCCGCAGGGCCGGGGTTATGTGGGACTGGGCTGAACCCTGAAGGGGAGCAACCCGACCGCACCAAACCCCCGGGGTATTCCTCCTCTCCGCTGCAGGTAGAAGCACGTGTACGCTATCGCTCGCCCGCGCCTCCATCAGCGGCTCCCCGAGAAGGGAAACACAACGGTCCCCCGACTCCAAATGTAAGGCTCGCCGAACACCAGACGAGCCTTCCATCTCGGGCCCCTCCATGCTCCCGCGGCGGATCTGTTGGTAGGCTCCGCCGTAACACCCTACGCACATCCACGTGGACTCTACATAGAGAGTCCTTTGGAGCGCCCACCGCACGGGCCAATCGCCCAAATTCGGCCGCGGAGGACAGGACGAGTGGCAACGACTCACCGACACGTCCCTTCCCCTGCGACACTCCTCCCCGCATGCGCACGCGGACCCGCTCGGCCTAGATCAAGACGAAGCCTAGCTCCATCGGCCGGCCCATAAGTTCCTCTTAGCTTCACCGTGAATGAAATCGATCACGGCTACTAGAGGCTAGGTATCACCTAGATTTACTTGCACTACTAACCCTAAGTTATATAAACATACAATAATTTAGTTAAACAGTGGTATGTGATAGTCTGGCGCGTATATGTAAATAAAAGGTTATTTAATAAGATTCATGTATTTAGGTTAAATTTTTATACACAATAAATTTAT